GCACCTTTAATGTGCCCAACTTGCACGCACACGGGACCGCCGAGAATTTTCTCCCGTGTCCGAGAAGGCTAGGTTTAGATCTTTCCTACCAGAAGATCAGGGGTGTGGCTGAAAGACAGCAGTAAGAAGGAGCCAATGAGAAACAGTAGAACGGCTTCAGAAAGAGTCAAGAGCCCAGTGGAGGGGGCAAAGGAGGTGAGAGGGTGGGGGTAGAAAGTGGAGACAAAAGCAGACGACAGAACTTTGCTAGAGAGTAAGAACGGAGGTGAAAGGAGACCATTTTAGAGAACATTTTTCGGTCGCTACCCCGATTCGAACCCAGGACCTTTGAAAGAGAGGCGAACACCCTAACCTCTAGGCCACGAGAGCTCCCAGACTTTGACTTTGAAGTACCTCGCGTACAACAGCTTTGCCCAGTGAGTTCGTTTATTTAACTCTCTGAAGTATCAGGCTGACCACAGCTGTAGAATTGTGAGTTTGTTTACGACATCTCTGGTATATACATTGCCTACCACAGATTTTGACACGTTTGTCTGGTTACGAACTCTTTAAAGTACCTTGCTGTCCACAACAGTTTTTGACAAGTCACTACCTGAGAATTACAAAGTTCTTTCTGCTCAGTACCTTGTTTTGAGAAATTTGACGTCAAAGATTTCGAATTTCACATGTCAAGCTTTTTCAAATGCAATTCTTTGAATATTTTGATAACGACTCCGAATAATCTTACGATTTTGATAGAGCAGATAGGACATTTTGCTTCTGATCCCATGGTCTTAGTAACTCAAAACAGCCAAAAATGTCAAACAGAACCTTGTAATTGGTCGCTATAAGCACAAGGGGGCTATCCCGAAAAATTTTGTTTTGAGAAAATGGAAGGTAAAGTTTTTGCCCCCTGTTCAGTTTCTTTGAAGGACAAGGAGAGTTTTCTCTATAATCAAAAAAATATACACACCAATGAAACCAAACTTCTTCTATAGATATGACAATGCCCTCTTTTGGTGTAGGTCAAGATTTCTGGAAACCCCCTAAATCTGGGGGAGCCCGCTTGTCCTTAAGAGCTAACAATATTAGAATTATTCTGAGGCAGCGAAGTGAGTTGTTTACTAATGTCTCTGGTGTATCTCGCCTACAAAAGTGAGCGTGGGTGGTTGGCGGGTGCTCTGGTGTAGTTTGCTTCTTCTTTCCTGTCAAAAATCTATCGTCGTTATCTCCCCTTTTTCTTTTTTATGTTTGTTACTCTCTTGTGACACCTCTAATCTTCTGGCGCTCATATGACCTTATGCAGTTGCGAGCGCCTTAAAACCTCTACTAAAACTAAAACTAAAACAACAGAAATGTAAATGGGCTGATTCATCAATGTCACGCTCATAACTGTGTCTGAACTGTAACAAGGAACTGCTTCGTTTTCTTTCCTAATCCTTACTATTGTCATTTTTTCCTTTACTTTTTTTGGTATGTTAGTCACATTCTCTTGTGAACTGCTATTTCGGGGTGCCTTGATAGTCGAAGCAGACTTTGTGCTGTTAAAGCTTGAGAGGTGAGCAGAGTAAGCCTGATTCCCTGTAAGGCTTCTCTATTGACATCCACCTTTTGGCGCTCATATGACCTTATGCAGATATGAAACCGTAAAAACTCTCATCATCATCCAGTGCCAGATCTGCGACAGACATCGGCGATCATGGTTCCCCTTTCATTTCTTCGCTCGGATGCTCTTAAAAAAGCTACGTTTCCCTGATCTTTCCCTGTTACCCATTTCTTAGGTTCCCTAAGTATGTTAGTTCTGGGCCTACCCCTGCTTCGTTTGCCTTCAATTTTGATAGTGAGAGCTAGATGTTTAAGACCCTTATGTCTATTCAAGAGTCCAAAAAACTGCATTTGTCGTTTCCTGATTGTTTTTTTTTACCATTGAGCGTCCCACGTGGGCTTCATCAAGCCCTACCTTTTTTGATTTCTTTTCCTTCCCACGATATTCTCAGCATTCTCCTAAGAAACATTTCTGTTGC